CTAGTAATTGCAAACCGCGGTCCATAACTTTTAATGGCACATTAGAACAGTCAGAACAAGTAATTGCATCTAAGTTTAATGATTATTTCGTAGACAGTGTTTCATTGATTAATCAATCTATTGAATTGGTCGATGAACCTGACGAAATAAAACAGCCAGTTAATAGTAGTTGCAGATTTGAAGTTTTTCACCCAATTACATTAGATGAACTTAGAGTTATTTGTTTTTCATTAGGAAAATCGGCTGGAGTAGATAATGTTAATGCTAGAGTTATTCAAGATTGCTTTCATGTCATTGGCCACATCTTTCTGGACCTTATTAATGAATCATTGCAGAATGGACATGTGCCACAAATTTGGAAGGAATCCTTAGTGATTCCTATTCAAAAAGTTGGTGGAACGATTAAAGCCGAAGAGTTTCGTCCCATCAACATGTTGCACACATTAGAGAAAATCTTAGAACTTGTTGTTAAAGGCCAGCTGTTGGAGTATTTGAATAGCAACTCTTTGTTGATACCAGAACAATCGGGATATCGGGAAGGTCATTCTTGTGAAACTGCATTGAATTTGGTGTTAGCAAAGTGGAAAGACAACTTGGAGCGTAAAGATACGATTGTTGCTGTTTTTTTGGATCTGAAACGCGCTTTTGAAACAATTTCTAGGCCCTTACTGTTAAGTACAATCAAGCGCTTTGGAATTACGAGTACTGCATATAAATGGTTTGAAAGCTATTTGTCTGACAGAACTCAACGGACTGTTTTTAATGATTCTGTTTCCAGTCCCGTGGGGAACAACCTTGGAGTGCCCCAGGGAAGTGTATTAGGGACCCTTTTATTTATTATGTATATTAATGACTTGCGACGTGTTTTACGGTTTTGCGACATTAACCTTTTTGCAGATGATACTGTGTTATTCATTGCAGCTAAGGATTTAGAAGTTGCCGTCTCACACTTGAATGAAGATTTGCAGTATCTAAGTAGATGGTTGAAGTGTAAGCAGTTAAAATTGAATACAAGTAAAACTAAATTTATGGTAATTTCACGGAATCGATTAAATGAGAACGTCTCTGTTGTAATTGATGATGAGAATATTGATCGCGTTCAGGAGATTAAATATCTTGGCGTGATTATTGATGACAAACTTAAGTTCAACTCTCACATTGACAATGTCATCAAGAAAATTGCCAAGAAGTATGGAATTCTATGTCGATTGAAAAACGATTTAACTATTGCCAGTAAAATACAGCTATACAAATCAATCATCTCTCCTCATGTAGACTTTTGCCCATCCATTTTATTTCTGTCGAATGCAACACAAATATCGAGATTACAGCGCTTGCAGAATAAAATAATGCGTTTGATTTTGAGATGTAATAGATTCACTTCCTCAACTTTGATGTTAGACGCCTTACAATGGTTGTCGGTGAAGCAAAGAATTGTATATTTGACTATGGTGTTCAATTTTTAAGTTGTTAACGGTTTGCTGCCTCGATATTTGTGTGATCGAATTGAAAGAGGAAGTGACTATCATAGATATAATATTAGAAACGCGGATGAAATAAGAACACCACATTTCTTGACTTGTGCTTCACAGAATTCATTATTTTTTAAAGGAATAAATGTTTTCAATTCGATGCCTAGACACATTAAACGTTCAACAACATTAGCAGAATTTAAGAGACATTGCATTTCACACGTTAAAACTGTCTTTTGAACAGTTATCCAGTGATTTTTTTTATGAATTGACAAATTATGTATCTTGACGAAGTTATTTTTAACGGATTACTTTGTATGGATAGCTGTTATAACGACTTTTTAATAATTATTGTAGCACTGCAAAAACTATTTTGTTCGCCACGATGGTGATGATGGATTTTTGATATATGATTTAATAGTAGTAGTAAAAAAAAATAGTAGTCTACAAAGGTTTGAGCCTCGCGCGCGTATTACGGATATAGAGGACTGAATTTAACATTTGATAAAAAAAAAATGCAATTTTGAAGCTTATTTGGAAGATACCTTGAGTTAGTAGTAAGTTTTCTGGCAAATGTTGGGGGTTCGTGAGCATTCCTGACATTGCTGAAAATTATGATAGCATCAGATTGCGGGGTTACTAGTGTAATAGGATGCTTTGTTGATTGTTCATTAACTCTTGATTGCTTGTAATACTTATGAATATTTTAGGTGGACAAAAAGGCGAACTAAGAGGTGGACGCCTGAGCTTTCAACATTTATATCGCTGTGAAGCAACTGTAAACTCTAGAGGGAATTTATATCTGTAACTGAAACCAGTTCGATTTTGTTTGCCAACCTGGTTAAAATGTCATATTTAATTATCTTAAAGATAAATCGTCCAGCTCAAACCTTTGTAGGGGTAAGAGGTGGGACCATCATCATCATCATCATCATCATCAAGTGGCTCGGTTGACCTTGAATCTAACCTCCAAAATATACAATGCAGCTTCAGTTCCATTGTTCGGTGTCGATTTTTATTGCCTTCCGGGAACCCCGTTCTCCGAGTTGGGATGCTACACTTTCGGTCCAAGATCGGCCCACTTGGTGAATTAGCCCAGAAACGTGTTGATAATGTGTCCGTCGCGAGTTTTGGTGGTGATTCGGTGGCCGACGTTGCCGTGAATCAGCAAGATTTCCGCTTGCAAAAGGGCTCGGTTGCTGGTCTCTCGCTGGTGTCGGAGATTGCGAGCAATATGAAAGACTGGACGGGTGGCAGTTAGTGGCCGCGAACTGTTCCTGGGGAAAGCACTAGACACAAACCTCCTTCCAGATGACCATGACAATGCAAGAAAATTTGTGTTCGTTAAAGGAAGTATTACCATAGAGGTAACTCTAAGACCAGAAGGTCCCGAAGAAACGAGCTCAACTTTTTGGCTCAGCTCTGGTACTCTCTTCGGTCCCAAGCTAATCGATTCACCCCTCGAAACATAGGAAAAACTAATAACCCCTCATGTTATCTGTCAAACTTTCATAGCGTATCAAAACAAACATTGCGTAGTACTAGAATTTCGACTAGAATGGGGAACGTTAATCGTTTGCTTGGGACCAATAGGCTAGTCAAGTAGTGAGCCAATTTAAAATCGTTAGTTTCGTATTGATTGTTGGTATTACGACAAAGGTGCATCACGAAATTAGATGCAAAGCTTAGAGAAAATCAAAATTACGGAACTCATGGATTGGAGGATCAAATTAAAATGGTGAGCCCAGTCCAAATACATTTTACAATAAAAAAAAAAACGTAAGCTAAATACGAGCCAGGTTTGAAAAGAATATTTTCGATCCTGGAAGCGTGTATGTAATACCAATATTCATTTGATAACGGTGATGCATACATGCGGGGCTTATTGTAAGTGAAAGTAACCTCGGAATGGGCGTGACTCTCCAGACATTCTGAAATGGGTGGCTGGATCTACAATAGAGCTATGACTTTCTAACTCATGGACTAAAGCTGTCTACAATGACCATAAATGCGACATTGTAGAGAGAGTTCTTCCATAATAACACTGCCGGCCAGTGGGGGTTAGATGGAATACAAACACACACACACACACACACACACACACACACACACACACACACACACACACACACACACACACACACACACACACACACACACACACACACACACACACACACACACACACACACACACACACTAACATCGATTTCCGGCCTCCATACGTCATCCCGATTCCAAAAAATATTGAAAAGTATTTGACAGTATTTCCCAGTTTTTAAATAACTGGAAACCGGCATATTAGATTTCAAGATGGTATCGGTCATCGATTTCCGTACTCTAGGCTTCATCCCAAATTCAAAAATACCCATATTGACGGGTATTTGTCAGACTCAAAATTAATTCCCGTTCCTTAGCTACCAATATTGTCAATGAAAATATGTGACAAATATGTGCACACGGTTCAGATCTAGTGAATCAAAGAAAAAATCTAGCTCACCCCGGCTATCGGTTTTCAAGCTGCGGTTCTATACATCAACTCGAAAACCGGCGGTCGGTTTTGATTTTGAACACCGCATACACGAAAACTCAACCAAACCAGGTAACACTCTTGCATAAACACAGGAGTATTTATCAAACCAGGTTTAGATGCCCATCACTGAATGAAAGACGACTGTGTTCATACGGAAATTGTCATGCGGTGAACATGATGCGAACAAAAAGTTCACTTTCCCATAGTACTTCAATATAAACTTCCAAGAGCTAGTGCAGTATGAGTTTGCATCCAAGTGAGTTCAAAATTTGGGAGGATTATCAGCACCTGATTTGAAATCGATTTAGCTTGGTGGAGGAAAACCGATATTTTGAACCACAGTCCTACTATCAAGGAAGTCACCGTTGATCTTCTTACTCTACATCAAAGACGTGAATTTGGTCATCGAAGGCCCACGAGATGATCTTCAAATCTACTTTCGTATCCGCTCGATTGATGACTATCACTTCCTACAACGTCAGCTGTAGCTTTTGCCAGCTGGTTTAATTTGAACCGAATTGTGGTTAATCCTACGAAGTGTTCAGTGACCAGCAACACATCTCGTACATTGTCGACAAGGCGTGTTCTGTGGTTTGGAACTCAAACTACAACAATGGTGCTGAGGGAGTTGAGTGTGTTTTCTTCCTTTTGCTCTACAGAAACTGCCTTGGAAAGACCCGTTTCATCTGCCCCGAGATACGTCGAAGGCTCTGTTCATTGCGGACACCTTACAGGGCAGAATAGAATGTTCTGCAATTTTGAGTAGGTGCCTATCTATCACTATTGTGATTTGAATCGGCATACAAATTGATCATATTGAGGGAGACCAGGAAGACCCTTGAGTTGGATGAGGATTAATGAGCTTAATTTGAAGCGGTGCTTTTACCTCTTCGATGCTTATTATGTCGGGTACCCATCATGGTTTCGTTCGATACAATATTCTTGCATAGAAAGCCATCACCATCTAAACCTATTCTTTCCGCTCTACATTTCAGGTAGCATATTTGGAGCAAACAAAGCACTATGTAACGATTAAGGATAATCAGATAGTGCAATTGCATCCATCAACTTGCCTAGGTCACAGGCCGAATTGGGTCATGTACAACGAATTTGTGCTGACCACTAAGAATTACATTCGAACCGTCACTGATGTAAAACGTAAGTATTCCCTACTGATTTGATTTAAACTGTGAGTGCAGCGCTTACAACTTTCCTTTCTTTTTTACTTTTCAGCGGAATGGTTACTGACAATTGCACCACAATATTACGACCTGAATAATTTCCCAGAGTGCGAGGCTAAACGTCAACTGGAGTTCATAAACACAAAACTTGAATCAAAGCAGTATCAACAAGGATTTTAGATAATAGTTTTCTGAATTACATCTGATGTACCTTTGCACTTTTTTTTTATCCGGTTCATTTGTTTAGATTCCCCACTTTCCAATAGTTGTGATTCTACAATAAAGTGAAGAGTCCGAAATAAAATTAAAAATGTCAAACCAGCGATATGGACAAAGCTAATCAGCTACGTAAGAATATGTGCTGTAAATCCACTGAATTACTACTGAAAATAAACGTACCACCTTCTATGACAAGCTGTGCTTGAAAAGGGAATTCTCTAACCAGAAAATATCACATTCTGCTTTAAAGTTTTGTTTAAATCAATTAATATTTTTATTTTTCGCCTTCTCAAGTGATCAAATCTTGTAGTTCGGCTCTAGAAAACAGATAGACGCAACTTGTTATTACATTGGAATCCTCTTTTAGTTGTACATTTATACATTATCCGAAAACAAATCCGTTGCCGATTTATCCCTTCGAGACACCTACCAGTGCCGGCCGTATACAACGCTCATGTAATTTGTATCCAATCTTGCTCACTACAACGACCGTGTTCGGCTCTACGTTTTGAACTTCCTGAAATAAACTGTTCGTTAGCCAAATCGAAGAATAGCGACATGTAAATGTACCGAACCTGCTGGAACAATGCTTCATGAAGATTAGGGTTGAATTTTTCATTCAAAGGATTGACCGTTTCCAATCCGTGACGCTTAAAAACTTGGTTAAGCTGGGCCTTAGTCATAGTGAGTCCTTCGTAAAGGTTTTTCAAGTGAGGGTTCTTATCGGTGATCTGAGTAAAATAAAAAGAAAATGTAGAATACGGATCATCTTCACAACGTTCCTATTAGTTTTGCAAAATACCTCTTCTTTGGGAACTGCTTCAGTTGCATGGCCCAATATATCGGCAACATCGAGAAGATCCTTGCAGAAACCCTGGATTCCAAATAACTTTGCATCTTCGATTTGCTTTGTTAGGCGCCGTCGTAGATTTTCCCCATCTGCCAGTGCTCGTTTATATTTATCCTAACAATATCCCACGTTAAACAATTCATTGCAGTGAATTATTAATTATTATTTTTACTTACATCAAGTTCTTTAACCTTTTCAGTGAGCGATTCCGTCTCCTTCTTTAGACTGTCGACTTCGGTTGTTAGTTTCTTCTCATTTTCCGAAAGTTCATCATCCTTTTTCGGAGCTTCTTCGTTAGCAAATCGCCGAACTTTAATCATTCCGTAGGCTGGAGTAGCGCGAATTTGCTCCATCGGCCTATCAAAGAAAATATTTTAGTTAGGTAAATTTGGAATTAAGTTCAGCAACAATTGAGGAGGTTCAATACGCGTATACATTTTAAGGTTAATAATTACATCATCTATTCAGAACAGTCCTCCGGTAGGTACTCTAGAATAGTCAACTTACCGCATAAATTTTTTCGTTATAATCGGTGTCAATTTAGAAATCTTCGAAAACACTGACATGTTTAGTGATGTCATTGTGTTATTGGCTAAATAGTCTCACAAAATGCAATTTTTGTAAAAAAAATCGAATTTTTATGATTTTAATGTTGCACTATATACAACACGCGAGTACTGTAACACACGAACAGATAAATTTGACAGCTCTCCGTAATCAAAATTCATGCGATGAAAGAGCCACAGCCAAATGAATTTATGGGAAGAAAACACTCAGAATTTTTTTCACTTAGATGTTACATGAAAACATATATAAGCTATTTTATGTGACGTCTTGATGACAGTTCCTGGTGGGCCACACGAACGCGCTCGAGGCATTGTTATTGTTTACGTCTGATGTTTTTGTTTTGATTTTGGTCGTGGTATGTCAACAAATCGGCTCGCTGGTAAACGTCAAAATAGGTAAACAGAAAAAAAACAGCTGACTCGAAACGTCTCGTAAAATGCCTTATAGATTTTTTCCATCTAGTTTTTCACGTAAATTTTACGTTTTTCATATGTGGATTGGTTTGAAAGTTCTAATTTTAAACTTCTAGTTTCGAGGGGTGCATCGATTAGCTTGGGACCGAAGAGAATACCAGAGCTGAGCCAACAAGTTGTGCACGTTTCTTCGGGACCTTCTAGTTCACAATAGATACGTTTTCAGGTTTTTTTGACAGATAATGCATGGGCTAGCTGTCAAAAAACCCGAAAACGTATCTATTGTGCGCCGGCCTTTAGAGTTACCTCTATGCTGGGGACACGCCTCACCATCCCTCTCCAAAGGGGGAGGGGATCGATGTACATCATACAACGTAATATTACACAACCGATGGATTGACCTGGTTGCAGCAGTTTGGACAACCGGTGAACACTCGTGTTTATTTCAGTTACCGTGGGGACGTAATTTGTGATTAGCCCCGGTCCCTTTCAAATTATTTATGTACGGTCCTTATATTTGAAATGACGTTTCACACGAGGTTTCACATTCATCTATAGTGATGGCCGATTTTCATTCAAATAATCGATTAATCGATTAACAAAACGAAGAGTAAAATATTTGTAATCGGTTATATCGTGCCGATATAAGCATTAACATCCGAGGTCCTCTTCTAGGAAGCAGCATATTTATTTTTGTTCACATAGCTGTCAAACCAAACAAAAACAAATACGTTTATTTTCAACCCGAATATTTTTAAAATAAACGTAATATTATTTTTATTTTAAACATTGATTTCACATGACTTCAAGCATGGAATACGTTTGGAATCAACCTAATTTATTTTTGTGGCCAGTGTGGAAATGCAATGCACATGGGTGAACCCCCCGTACAATCTCTACATATATGTTGTGTAGCTTGGCAAGGGCAACCCGTAAAAAAAAAGAACCGTAGAGGTACAATGAAATGTATTGTAACCATACAATAGAGTTTATGGTATTTACAATAAATCGTATTCTCGACAACGATTAAATAACAATAGAATGTATTGTTTCTGCAATAGAATCTATGGTAAATGGGGGAATATACAATAGATTAAGGGGGTCGTTATGTATCTTAACCATACGAAAAATCACTTTTTCCCGAACAAACTTGAACCATTTACCATTAATTGTATTGTTGTTCTATTGTTGAAAACTCTTACTATATGGGACCTATTGTACATCTATACGCCTTTTTAATGCACCACCAACGTAGAGGCGCCACGCGAGTTCGAGAAGAAACATCAACCAAACCGTTTGTTTACATCAGAATAAGTATTTTCCCCAACGCAAATAACAGCATTTTTCATTCAAAATCTTGCCAATTTCCATCGGTAATTGTCTTATTGTACGATTTTCCACAAATCTGAACTGATTTGCACCTTAACTATTCACACACAAGAAATCCGGAAGATCATAACCACTAAGGCACTTTTCTAATTTTTCATTTTTCTCAACAAAAATATTCCTAAACACCAGCAGGATCTTTTCGAAAACGTTACAGAATTGAATTTTTCAACTGTAGATTAAGTTTTGCAGCATCTCAGATGAATCAATTTATCAGGAAAAGTAAAAAAAGTGTTCCGCTTCCTATGTCTCAAAGCAAAAATTTATGCTCACAACACTCTTTTTGACGTTCTCCTATTCACCACCAGTGGTTGAATCGATCGTTTAGTTTCTATTAAAAAGGCCTATTGTAATAACAATATGTTAAAACTTCGTGTACTATATACACACAATAAGATCGATTGTTGACAATAGATTTACGTGTAACTGTATTTTATTTTATGGTAATTGTATGGTTATTTTTTTCGGGAAGGGTGTAGAGAATATTATAACCACTCTGTTCATTACCGCACTCAGATGCGTGCATTTTGTATTCTTTTATTTTACAAGTGAAATAAAACGTGTTCTTTCTTCTTTTGTACTCGGTAAATTGTGCCGCGTGTTTTAATCCTGCTTGTGCCGAATTTCCTGTTGTACGCTTGATCTGCTGCTCCCTACACTGATAAATTGAACTATTCCCATTTTGCTTGAAATTTAATCAATTTGACATTAAGCTCAGTTTAATCATATCGACTGATTAAAAATTAATCCTCTTTTTCTAAAAAATAAGCATCTGATATTATCCCAGTTTAATCATGGTTGATTAGATTGTAGATTATCTTTTTTTGAATACATTTTAATCATTTTTGATTCTATTTTAATAATTTTTGATTGAATTTTAATCTTTTTTGATTATATAACAGTATTGAAAAAGAATAAAATTTAATACTGAAAAAATTATTTCGATTTTAATCATGCATGACTACTGCCGAAGTAATCATGGCTCGGACTCAATAAGGTGAAGCGGGAATCTGCATACTTTTTAAGCTTTTTTGATTTAATTTATCTTTGAGTGTACGCCTCCGTCAGCCAGAACACAGCGAAAAAAAAAATTAATATCGATCAATGTAATTCAAGCTGATGTATGAAATAATGATGTAATAGCAGAAAGAAGATACAATATTACCAAGAATATTATCAACAATCAATACGAAACTAACGATTTTAAATTGGCTCACCACTTTAGTAGCCTATTGGTCCCAAGCAAACGATTAACGTACCCTATTCTAGTTGAAATTCTATTACTACACTATGTTTGTTTTGATTCGCTATGAAAGTTTGACAGATAACATCAGGGGTGTGTGGATTCATGCGGAACATGCAGGGGTGAGTGAAATAGCTTGGGACTGCTTGGGACCGTTGTTCTGGTACTGAGTGAGCCAAAAATAATAATGATTTTCCACGGGACCCAGTGGTCTTAGAGTTACCTCTATGATATTACATCAATGGATGTAGTTTTGTTCGCAAAATCGATGCACATCGTACAACGTTATATTACACAGCCGATTGATTGACCTGGTTGCAGCAGTTTGGATGTAATATTCAACAACTTTTTTTTTTGTGTACAATATTACATCAATGGATGTAATTTTGTTCGGAAAATCGATGTACATCGTACAACCACAAACGAAGTGACAGACGGAGCGGCTCAAAATTTGATTTGACGCACTTACGTTTGAAATTTTCGAGTGTACCTCACGGCAACACTATCTACTCATATGTACTAGCTTAAAGTATATAGTTGATGCTATTGGCCTTGACGGCGAATCTATAGCTCTTTACTCCTATGGTAAAATCAGTAAGCAAACGTCAGACTGTGCGTGAAATTTACTTTCAAAAACAAAGAGGTTCGCAAGTGGTGCTGGTGCTGAAGAGTATGAACTGCTGTTGGATGATCAGATTGATTTCGTCCAGGCACTCCGACTGGATGGAACTAAAGAAAAGGACCGGAAAGCACCGGTATCTGAGGCGGAAAGGAAGAAGATGGACATTGAGGAAACGAAGAAATCACTTCCAGTTTTTCCATTCAAGGAGGATCTCATAGCCGCTATAAAAGAACACCAGATTCTTATTATCGAAGGAAAAACGGGTTCGGGAAAAACGACACAGGTTCCACAGTATCTCTATGAAGCTGGGTTTACAAAGGACGGCAAGAAGATTGGATGTACTCAGCCTCGTCGCGTGGCAGCGATGTCCGTGGCGGCACGTGTTGCACAGGAAATGGGCGTCAAGTTGGGCAACGAAGTTGGTTATAGTATTCGTTTCGAGGATTGCACATCCGAGCGGACTGTCATTAAATACATGACAGATGGTACGTTGCACAGGGAGTTTCTTTCGGAACCGGACCTAGCTTCGTATAGTGTGATGATTATCGATGAAGCTCACGAGCGTACGTTGCACACGGACATTCTGTTTGGATTGGTGAAGGACATTGCGCGGTTTCGGTTGGATTTGAAACTACTGATTTCCAGTGCCACGTTGGATGCGGAAAAGTTTTCGGATTTCTTCGATGATGCGAACATATTCCGTATTCCTGGCCGTCGTTTTCCGGTACGTAGTTAGATTTGACTTACTTTGTGTTTTGCTGTAAAATCTAACTTTTTCTCTTCTAGGTTGATGTCTTCTACACCAAAGCACCGGAAGCAGATTATATCGATGCATGTGTGGTGTCGGTTCTACACAGCAAAAAAAGTTGTTGAATATTACATCGAAACTGCTGCAACCAGGTCAATCAATCGGTTGTGTAATATCACATTGTACGATGTACATCGATTTTGCGAACAAAATTACATCCATTGATGTAATATTGTATCTGCTTTTTGCTATTACATCATTATTTCATACATCAGCTTGAATTACGTTGATTGATATTACATTTTTTTTTGCTGTGTACAGATTCATGCCACTCAGCCTCTTGGAGACATTCTTGTATTTTTAACTGGTAAGTGGGTCTATTTCTATGCGATGTTAAAAAATTACATTTTTTTTTCGTTCCAGGACAAGAGGAAATCGAAGCCTGCCAGGAGATGCTCCAGGATCGCGTCAAGCGGTTGGGTTCCAAACTCAAGGAACTAATCATCCTTCCCATTTATGCCAATCTGCCGTCGGACATGCAGGCGAAAATTTTCGATCCAACACCACCGAACGCCCGGAAAGTCGTACCAACAATCAATACGAAACTAACGATTTTAAATTGGCTCACCACTTTAGTAGCCTATTGGTCCCAAGCAAACGATTAACGTACCCTATTTTAGTTGAAATTCTATTACTACACTATGTTTGTTTTGATTCGCTATGAAAGTTTGACAGATAACATCAGGGGTGTGTGGATTCATGCAGAACATGCAGGGGTGAGTGAAATAGCTTGGGACTGCTTGGGACCGTTGTTCTGGTACTGAGTGAGCCAAAAATAATAATGATTTTCTTCGGGACCCAGTGGTCTTAGAGTTACCTCTATGGTCGTACTGGCCACCAACATCGCCGAGACATCACTAACCATCGATAACATAATGTACGTGATCGATCCGGGCTTTGCAAAGCAAAATAATTTTAACTCCAGAACCGGAATGGAGACCCTGATGGTCGTGCCCATTTCGAAAGCGTCTGCCAATCAACGTGCAGGTCGAGCAGGGCGCGTTGCCCCTGGCAAGTGCTTTCGTCTGTACACAGCCTGGGCATACAAACACGAGCTGGAAGACAACACCGTCCCGGAAATTCAGCGCATAAACCTGGGCAATGCCGTGCTAATGCTCAAAGCTCTTGGAATCAACGATTTGCTTCATTTCGATTTCCTCGATCCTCCACCACATGAAACGTTGGTTTTGGCATTGGAGCAACTTTACGCCCTAGGGGCATTGAATCACCACGGTGAACTGACCAAACTTGGACGACGGATGGCGGAATTTCCGGTCGATCCCATGATGGCAAAAATGCTGCTTGCTAGTGAAAAGTACAAATGTTCCGAGGAGGTGGTGGCCATCGCTGCAATGCTATCGGTGAATGGAGCCATCTTCTACCGACCGAAAGATAAAATCATCCACGCAGATACGGCCCGGAAGAACTTCAACCACATGCACGGGGACCACTTGAGTTTGCTGCAGGTCTACAACCAATGGGCCGAATCGGACTACAGCACTCAGTGGTGTTACGAAAATTTCATTCAGTTCCGTTCGATGAAACGAGCTCGCGATGTCCGGGAGCAGCTGGTTGGGGGTTAATGCAGCGAGTCGAAATCGAAATGGTTTCCAGTCTGCCGGAAACGACCAACATCCGGAAGGCTATTACAGCCGGGTACTTTTATCACGTCGCTCGGCTCTCCAAGGGGGGGTCACTACAAAACGGCCAAGCACAATCAGACGGTGATGATCCATCCGAATTCGGCACTGTTCGAAGAACTGCCTCGTTGGGTGCTGTACCACGAGCTGGTGTTTACGACGAAGGAGTACATGCGGTCGGTGATTGAAATCGAAAGCAAGTGGCTGCTGGAGGCGGCACCGCATTACTACAAACCGAAGGAGCTCGAGGATTCCACCAATAAAAAGATGCCGAAAACGATCGGTCGGGCCACGCTGACCGAGGCGTAGGTTGTGATGAGACGGTTTGGGGTAATTCAAGAGCATTTTTCGCACTATGTATTCAACGGGAATTGTTGTTATTTGCGATGACATTATCCTACCTAGGGTGTCGGGTGTAAATTAGTGATCTTTAGGGACAAATAGGTGAAATATAAGGTTGCTGCAACCATGCTATATTGTATGTCAGTAGAGAGCTTCATAAGGCTAGCCCGTCTAATCCCAGTCGCGCTCCTTTCCGTTTCTTCAGGTCCGGTTAGGTGGATTAGGTATTCTCTGGCACGCCGAAGCCAACTGCAGGGCTGTTACAAGTGTCGCAAATTTTGTGCGGTTTTATAGCTTTTGAAGTGCGGATTTTGCGGAAAGCTTATCGACATTGAACACATTTTTTTAAATGATATTTTAGCTTGCCCAACCAACTATTAATAACTTTACTGCTTTACTTCTTTATTAAATAATAGAAGGTCTTTCTAAACGTAGATTTTCCTGGAGTCTTCAAATAATTAGAATCGAAACTTAGTTGAATTAACCCTAAGTGGAACTAATCCGCGCCAAAGCAAATCTGAGATGGCAGTCCACGAATACCTCAGATTTGCGAATTTAGCGTAGTCGTAACAACGCCGTCCTTGACGGGAACTAACAAAGTTTATACTATTTCAAACAATCGCTGATAGGAAGTTTTTTCGCCAAGTGAATGATGAAATACTCACAATGATTTCACTGTCTAAGATTTATTGCTGTCTCTAATAGCATATGTAGCAAAGCTATACATTATTTTTCTCTCGTCTCAATACCTACTTACTACCAAAAGTGGATGTGTTAATAACACAATCAATGAGTAACAATTAAAAAAAAAACCCTCACTGAATTCAACCATACACAGCAGAACATACAAAATCAAATCTCTCTTTAAAATATGCCCCGACCCGTCCGCTCTAATGCTGCGACCACTGGATCGACTTGATGTCGATACCTTCCTGGACCATCTCCCACAGCGGGGACATCTCTCGGAGTCGAGTCACGTGCTTGATGCACTTTTCAGCTATGTAGTCGATTTCCTCGATGGTGGTAAACCGTCCGATGCCAAAGCGAATCGAGCTGTGAGCCAGATCTTCGTCGGCACCAATCGCACACAGCACATACGACGGTTCCAGCGAAGCCGAAGTGCAAGCCGACCCACTCGAGAGGGCAACGTCTTTCAGCGCCATCAACAGCGATTCACCCTCAACGTATGCAAACGACAGATTGATACATCCGGGATAAGAATGAACTGGATCGCCATTGCGGATGACTTTCGGTAGCGATGCGAAGATTTGGTCCATCAGGCGTTTCGAGAGGAACTCCATCCATTTGTGATCGTACTCCATTTCACGGCTAGCGATTTCACAGGCTTCCCCCAATCCAACGACCAGTGGAGTCGGAACGGTTCCACTTCGAATGCAACGCTCCTGGCCACCTCCGCTCTGAATGGCTTCCACACGAACTCGAGGACGAATGCGAGTTGAATGCGAGAGGCTCCCAAACATACAAACTTTGCTCTTTCATTATCACGACGTTCTTATGCATAATCTAGTGTGACGTAACGTTGGATCATGCGTAAGAACACCGTGAGAACGAAGGAGTCGACTACATTCTTTCTGCCGCACCTATAGTACCGCACACGGTTCCCGCGCTGACTGTTCCTTACTTTCTCACTCTAATCAAAATTTCCTTCGATGAGTGAGAAAACAGCACCCCGTCAACGCGAGTGAGAACGCGAGTCGCCAGATCATTGCACACAAAACCAACTTGAATTAATTCAAATCAAAAATACTAGCGAACCTGGCGGTGAGCGGCGGAAAGTGGTCTAAAATTCTATTACAGAGAACCACGTTATTTTAATTAATTTCTTCGGAGAAAGTCGTCTGTAACTTCGTTTGTGGTACAACGTTATATCACAAACGAAGTGACAGACGGAGCGGCTCGAAAACTTTGGTGACTAACCTGCTATTGCAATTTTTCAGTGTACCACATGGCAACACCACTACTACTGGATTGTACCACATGGCAACACTACTATACGTTATAAACTGAAATGCATAAAAAAATGACAAAATGATACGCACTCTTTGCACACTGTCAAAGAATCATTGTACACAAAATCAACTTTGTTCAAATCCAAACAAAAAAACTAACCCATCTGGTGGATGATGGCACAAGCTTCCAAGAAAATTCTATTACAGTGAACCACATTATTTAAATGGATTTCTTCGCCAGTAAGTCGTCTGTCACTTCGTTTGTGGTTATATTACACAACCGATGGATTGACCTGGTTGCAGCAGTTTGGATGTAATATTCAACAACTTTTTGTTTCTGTGAACAAACTGAATTTACGTTTAAATTTACTTTACAAAAATTATTTTTGTTTCGGCGATAGTTTTTTCTGCGTGAACAAAAAGATTTTTTTTTCTCACTTTTTAAGATTATTCGGACTTGGCCGGGGATGAAATTTGAACTCGTTACCTTTATTAAGAGTGGCATGGATGTCAACCTCTACGCCAAGTCCGTGCCTGGTCCAAAAGAAAACAGACTTTTTGAAAAAGCAACAATCACGCATCCTACTTCATTCATTTACTGGCCTCAGTTGGACCTACTAAAAAATCATCTTTGATCTACCTATTTCAATGCTACCGAAGGATGTTTGAAGTTGTGGAAAACTCATGTACGCAAGACAATTTCGGCCTTGTATAGGTTCCGGACGTTCGAATTTACCGGCAACGACAAACTGAAGTTGTGGTACCATCACCGACGAAGTACCATCACGAGTTCTGCGTGCTAGCTGTTAGCTTGCAAAATCTACCGAGTATCGTCCGATGTGCGGTATAAGAGGTGAGGAGAAAGGAAACTAGTGGACTCTTTCGTTCTCGCGTCTTCTTACGCAGCAACAGACGTGACGTCACGTCTGCTGTTGCATAAGAACACCGTCAGAATGAAAGAGTCCACTAGTTTCCTTTCTCCTCACCTCTTATACCGCACATCGAGTATGGTCGGGTCCTGGCGTCCAACAACGATGTCTCCTCGGTCGTCGATGACTATGGCTTTGGTTAGAAGCACGGACTGATGAAATCTGTAGCAACAATTGCTGACGACAAGCGTGAGTCATTGATAGCTCAACATCTTTTACTTGTAAGTAAACGTTAACCTGAAGTGTTCACTCCTAAAAGAAATGCAGATAACAACGAAAACGCATAATGACATGCAGTTTGATAACAGGCTCTCCCTTTCAATTTTCGTTAGAGAAAAAGAGATAACAGGCGGTACCCCAATAGCATCAACTAGAGTCGGTGTATAATGAGTCACGCCAAGAGTGAAGCCAAGTCTACCTATTGAACTGTCAAACCGATTACCTATCGTGCAAAGTAAACAAACATTACGATGCTATGAAAGGTCTACACGAAACAAAAATCAATTATTTTATTCATGTGTTTCACTTATACATTTTTGCCAAAGCATCAGCCTTATATATTCCATAAGACAAACCACATAGGTCCTACAAGAATGTATAAAAGGTATGTGTGACCACTTATACATTTCATTTGACACATGAGCTTCATTAACTTTTTGCAAGGCGTCTGCTTATTAGTTGACTTATACATTTTATGAATAATCAGCAATAGAAATTTGCCAAAAGGTATAAGGAGATTTCTATCCGTGTACGAAAGGTATTGCAATAAAATATAAAATATAATTGAATAAATGATCATAAACACGCAGTGAGCATTAAATTGTCATGGAATACGTTTGTTAACAATCAGTAATGAGAATTGCTACTATTTTTTGTGAAGATTATTGGACAAAATCACTGATAATAATGATTTACAACAGCCGCTATTTTTTTCACGCTAGAAGTCATTTGAAGTTGATGTAGCAGTCCTCTGTTGCCAAGTGAAAAGAAAGAGAATCTTTCGAAAACCGTGATGCGAGTTAAACTGTTTTTCTCTTGGCGTGACTCATTATACACCGACTCTAGCATCAACTACTTTAAGCTAGAGTCGGTGTATAATGAGTCACGCCAAGAGTGAAGTCTACCTATTGAACTGTCAAACTGGCTACCTATCGTGCAAAGTTAACAAACATTACGATGCTATGAAAGGTCCATGAAAGGTATTGCAATAAAATATAAAATAAAATCGATGAAATAATCATAAACACGCAGTGAGCATTATATTACGTTTGGTAATGATCAGTAATGAGAATTTCCACTATTTTTTGTTAAGATAATTTGAGAAAATCATTGCAATTTTTCAGTGTACCACATGGCAACACCACTATTACTGGATTGTACCACATGGCAACACTACTATCATAGAGGTAACTCTAAGACCACTGGGTCCCGTGGAAAATCATTATTATTTTTGGCCAGAACAACGGTCCCAAGCAGTCCCAAGCTATTTCACTGACCCCTGCATGTTCCGCATGAATCCACACACCCCTGATGTTATCTGTCAAACTTTCATAGCGAATCAAAACAAACATAGTGTAGTAATAGAATTTCAACTAGAATAGGGTACGTTAATCGTTTGCTTGGGACCAATAGGCTACTAAAGTGGTGAGCCAATTTAAAATCGTTAGTTTCGTATTGATTGTTGCTACTATTGGATTGAACTAGCATTTTCAACAAATGTACTAGAATATTTTGGTTCTATCTCTTTCACTCTACTCTAAACTGAAATGCATAAAAAAATTACAAAATGATACACTCTTTGCACACTGTCAAAGATCATATTGCACACAAAATCAACTATGTTCAAATCAAAACAAAAATACTAGCCCATCTGGTGGCTGATGGCACAAGCTTCTAAGAAAATTCTATTACAGCGAACCACATTATTTTAATTGATTTCTTCGCCAGTTAGTCGTCTGTCACTTCGTTTGTGGTTCAACCATAGAGGTAACTCTAAGACTAGTAGGTTACGAAGAAACGTGCTCAACTTTTTGGCTCAGCTCTGGTACTATCTTCGGTCCCAAGCTAATCGATTCACCCCTCGAAACATAGGAAAATCCAATAACCCCTCATTCTATCTGTCAAACTTTCATAGCGAATCAAAACAAACATTGTGTAGTACTAGAATAAGGTACGTCAATCGATTTGCTTGGTACCAATAGGCTAGTCAAGTAGTGAGCCAGTTTAAAATCGTTAGTTTCGTATTGATTGTTGGTTCAACTGTTTTTCTCTTGGCGTGACTCATTATACACCGACTCTACTTTAAGCTAGTACACATCTAAGAGAAGAGGTGACAATACGGGGCCAAAATGAACCACTTTTCTGTCAAACGCGAGGTCAAACGTGAACCAGCTCGTGATTGGCTGATTTTGATGTGCGTAAGATAGAGATAGACATAGATAGATAGAGATAGAGATAAAAATTAAAGAGTAAGAAGCCAATTGTCACCTCTTCCTCTTAGGTACATATGAGTAGATAGTGTTGCCGTGAGGTACACTCGAAAATTTCAAATGTAAGTGCGTCAAATCAAATTTCGAGCTGCTCCGTCTGTCACTTCGTTTGTGGTATAATTTTGACGAAAATTTTAATCGAATGTATAAATTTTAAAAACCATAAAATGCGTAAAATTTCATCTTTATTCGTTTTATAATATGTTTGAGTGTGGGGACTTGAGATTTATACCACAAACGAAGTGACAGACGGAGCGGCTTGAAAACTTTGGTGACTAACCTGCTATTGCAATTTTTCAGTGTACCACATGGCAACACCACTAATACTGGATTGTACCACATGGCAACACTACCCTAATAAAAATAACCATAAACGAACGATAACCCAAATCATTGAACTATTCCACAAATGGTTTGGATGATACCCAGAACACGTCGTTAAGCAAATTAACCATACAATTTTTATTAGGGTACTACTGGATTGAACTAGCATTTTCACCAAATTTACTAGAATGTTTTGGTTCTATCTCTTTCACTCCACACAAAACTGAAATGCATAAACAAATGACAAAATGGTACACTCTTTGCACACTGTCAAAGAATCCTTGTACACAAAATCAACTTTGTTCAAATCAAAACAAAAAAAACTAACCCATCTGGTGGATGATGGCACAAGCTTCCAAGAAAATTCTACACGGATAGAAATTTCCTTATACCTTTTGGCAAATTTCTATTGCTGATTATTCATAAAATGTATAAGTCAACTAATAAGCAGACGCCTTGCAAAAAGTTAATGAAGATCATGTGTCAAATGAAATGTATAAGCGGTCACACATACCTTTTACGCATTCTTATAGGACCTATGTTGTTTGCGTATTGAATGTATAAGCACAAACGAAGTGACAGACGGAGTGGCTCGAAAACTTTGGTGACTAACCTGCTATTGCAATTTTTCAGTGTACCACATGGCAACACCACTACTACTGGATTGTACCACATGGCAACACTACTATTGGATTGAACTAGCATTTTCACCAAATGTACTAGAATATTTTGGTTCTATCTCTTTCACTCTACTCAAAACTGAAATGCATAAAAAAATGACAAAATGATACGCACTCTTTGCACACTGTCAAAGAATCATTGTACACAAAATCAACTTTGTTCAAATCCAAACAAAAAAACTAACCCATCTGGTGGATGATGGCACAAGCTTCCAAGAAAATTCTATTACAGTGAACCACATTATTTAAATGGATTTCTTCGCCAGTAAGTCGTCTGTCACTTCGTTTGTGGTATAAGGCTGATGGTTTGGCAAAAATGTATAAGTGAAACACATGAATAGAGTAATTGATTTTCGTTTCGTGTATTACAGTGAACCACATTATTTAAATAAATTTCTTCGCCAGTTAGTCGTCTGTCACTTCGTTTGTGGTTTATACTCTGGACAGACTATGGCTGTCTTGCAATGAGCACTCATACATTAGATTTCCAGTGAAAACTAGATGTATGAGTGCTCATTGCAAGACAGCCTATATTCCATGATATAAGCCATAGTCTGTACGGGGTATTAGCGTAACTTTTATACTATTTAGATATCAATATTTTTTGAGTGTAGGTTTAGTTTTGACTGATCTGGGTGTATTCTACCCAAATTTGTAAAGGTTTGAAATAGCGTGTGCTGTGACCTGGTGGTAAACCATGTTTTGAGTAGTTTTATTTTTCGATGCAAGCTCACGTTCATGAATGAACGGAATGAATTAATAACTGACATACATACTTCGCGTGTGAATTTTGCAGTCGTGCCCCGTGGTGTTTGCGTAGCATGGCAGTAACTTTTCGTTTTTTGTGGCATTTTAGTTAATTTTCACTGGTGAAGTTACGAAAACTGTATCCCTTGTAGGACAGAAGCCATGGATAGATATTAGTTGGCGGTAACAGTGATTAACTGATCTATTTTCGGAAAAAGAGCGAAACTTTCTTTGTTTCCGGAGTACGGAGGATTTTTGTTTTTTCTCTTTTGAATGAACTATCGAGCCGAGTGTGTTCTTCGTGTTGTTTTTGTTCATTCGACGTACACAAACTATCGGATCGGTGTTTTTTAAGGGCAGTAGAGGCTCTGAACCTCCTCTTTTCTACTAGTTTGTTAATCATTCGTGGCTGAGCTGTTCAAGTGCATAAACCTACGCAAAGCAGTGTACGCGATACTTTTGGTGTCGGAATAACATTCGATTTCGCTGAGGGGTTGTGTTAGGAAAAGCCGGATGAGTTTCAGTAGCATTAGCTTGCCGGGTCTGGGCGAGATGGAGCAGATCATCTGCAGCCTGGAACGTGGCACGTTGATCCAAAAGTTCTACCCGCGGCGGAAACCGGAAAAGAAAACGTTGATGCTCCGTAGAGAAACACGGCAGGTGAGACTAGTTGTAGTCAGCTTGCGATTGGGGGAGAAAGACGGAACATGTAATAAATTCTACGCTTCCGCTAATTTATTCATTCTCTGTCGTGAAGCGTTCGTTGGTTTCACTGATTTGTGTAAATGTTGTATTTATTTCTTCTTTTTCGTCGGTAGGTAACGTGGTCTTCGCCTTCGCAGAATAACCGGGCAAATTTCGAAGGGGCCTTGGAACTACGAGAAGTGAAGGAAGTTCGTCTTGGAAAAAGCTCAAAAGATTTCGAGAAATGGCCCGAAGAAACGAAGAAGATTGAACTCCGCAAATGTTTTGTAGTGTTTTACGGCAGCGAGTTTAAACTGCGTTCACTTTCCGTTGTCGGTATGTTTTTCTTTCTTTCTTTTTAGCCGTAATGGGTGTAAGAAGCGGATAACTTTCATATGGTTCCCCTTTATCTGTTTGATTTCAGCTCTCTCCGAAAAAGAATGTGACATGTGGATGAAAGGTCTTAAGTACATGGTCACTGACACAATCAGTGCCCCGTACTGGCTTCAGGTCGAAAGGTGGCTTCGGAAAGAGTTCTATGCTATGGAAAATCCACGAGAAACAGTGGCTCTGAAGGAAGTCAAATCATTCCTGCCAAAAGTCAACTGTAAGATAACGACAGCCAAACTAAACGAGATCTTCCATGAAGTAGACTTCAGACGACGGAACGAGCTTGGGTTTGATGATTTTACCAGGCTCTACCAGAAACTCATGACATCTTCCAACACCATACAAGACTATTTTGATGGTTCAATGCCCTACTCCAAAAACGGGCAAACTGTGACTTTGCAAGAGTTTCAAAAGTTTCTCATCGATGTTCAAAACGATCCACTCGGACACGACGATAAGACGGCTTCAAATTTCATTCGGGAATACGTACAGGATCCGATTCGAGACGTACAAGAACCTTATCTGAAGATTCAAGAGGTGGGTACAAAAAAAAACATTTTTTTTATCTTTGTTGAAAATCGATATCGTTATCAGTTAGCTGTAATACAACAGTGATAAGTTTACCATCATGCCAATTGATAGAATGTAACATCTTGAACAATATGTGATGATTTGATTAGCCGTAAATAGCGATTCAACCCGTGAACTGTGTGTTATCTCTAGTATACATATCCATATTACCACAAGGGCGTAGCCAGGTTTCGAGCTAGGGAGGGGCGAAAAAAAATTTACTATGGAAAATTTGATCGAATGTCATTTCATCGAAAGCCTTTGTGTTGCTGAGTTTAGGGGGTCAGTTGCCTCCGCCCCCTGCCCCCTCTGGCTACGCCTTTGTATTACCTTGTTACGCATAAATGGATCTGTAAAACAAGGCACATCAAGCAAAAGGGCTCTGGCTAGCTTGTTCTAAAAAAGAAGATCAACGTGCGTATCAACGTGCACACTATTAATGTGCCTCGCATGAAATCAAGCAGTGCTTCGTTAGTCGACTGCGCTTTGCTGTTGTATTGATTTACACAGCCACCTACAGTAACGTACCGGGGGTATTGGTGGATGGCGCTCGTAAAAGCTATTGCATCGGAAATGACCCAAAATATATCAAGTCACATGATAATTTAAGATTAAAATCAATTTGGTTCGAGACTAGGGTGTATTTGCTTCTGTAACAATGACTTCAATGCAGATCCAAACATCTTGCAAACAAACTATAATTACTGATAGAACAATCATTCCCCTACCTGATTGTGCTGTTAGTTTGCAAGAATGATCGTGAGAAATCGGTGGATGATGGGTAATTGGACGCCGAAATTATAATAGTTTGTTTGATCTTCAAAGTATACTCTTATCGTTCCAGTTTATGAAAAAAATGAACAGTAAAAAAAGGTAACATTCAAGGTTGCAAATACTCATTTCAATGTTTTACTTGAAAGTTACAAGAAAAGGTTACAAAGTATGTATTTGACACATATAACCTGTCAATTTTGCTTGCTACCCCAAAAGGCCTGGGTTCAATCCCACTCGGCGCCGCCGGGATTTTAGAGTTCAGTTTCGAACCTCTTCGGATACGGTTGTTGTTGTAAGTTTGCTCTCTGTTTTGTGCGTGCGTTCGCTTTCATAGTTTTTGGGTGCTTTTGCCTGGCACGCTGTCTCCCGGACGGTTATACGTATGTGATTGATGGTTTTCTCTCTTTCTGGGAAGTTTTAGAATCAAAAAACAAAACGTGAATCATCATGTTTGCAAACATCTGAAGAGATGTCGCATTCTGCGTTGTTTTTTTTTCTCTGCATGTACTCCCGGCTGGTCCAGAAATGTGTGGCATCGCGGTGAAATTTTTATGATTCCTCTACTAGAAGTGTTGAGTACCTATATCGTAAAATGTGAAAAATCAGTGTAATTCAATCGAGAAAAAAATGTGTGGTGGAAATGATGACCATTTGACTTTGGTTCCTATAAACTACTCATAATCGTATAACAGTCCCATATGGACAGAAAATCAAGCAACGATGGGGCTGATATGCGATTATGGGCAGTAAACTCACGCAAACATATATTTAAATGCATGTAGACGAGCAGTGCCTGAGATTGAAAGATTGTGATGTTTTTCCTTCTTTTTATTATATCCGTAAATTTGCTCTCGAGAGAATATGGGCGCGTACGTTTCAGTTTCGACCAGCTTTTGGCCGGTTTTTGTTGTGGTGTGCTGGTGCATTGCTTCCCAAACGATTTTTGCTTCTTTTTGTCGATGATTTTTGTTCTTGTTGTTTTTAGGAAAGTTTGAACATACTGAGAGGTAAGCACATATCATCGGTAAGAGACGTGTGTGTGAGAAAATTTGCGAAAAAATCTAAGGGCACCGGTGGGATACGAACCCACAATTCCCATTCAGTACACGGGTGCATTGCCAATTATACAACGGTGGACCTATGGTCTACGGATGTATTTGGCTAATGACATTTGAGTTTCGAATCCGTTCCCCACCCTAGTCTTTTTGCGCAAGCGTTCTCTGATACACAACAATCGTCTATTATCGACGATATGTGCTTGTACCGCAACCACTCAGTATCAGTCGATGTGAACAAAAGTTGTTTTATTCCATGCTTTCGCTTAATTTCATATCAATTTTGTGAAAAAATCAGATCCGCGGTATGGAGGACATCAAGTGAGCGTTTCATTGCAGTAGTGTAGAAGAGAAAAAGCGAGAGAGTGAACACCATCCGAAATGTTTTGTGTTGGCGGTAATGTCCATGCGGACAACATCGAAGCAATGAAAACTATATTTGTGGTAATGCAAATTATGATTTTGATGACGCATGGCTTCAAACATTTTATGTATCCAACTAAAACATATTACATACTAAATACGCACAGGGCATCATCTACTGATCATTGCCGCGGGTATATCGTGGGAGTCCCAGGTACTCGGTTCAAGCTTTAATTGTTGGCGGTGGTGGCTCTTGTTGACCTTCTACCCCCTGAGTAGTAAGTGTGAATAAGGGCGTGTATGTGATGTTTTGCTGGTACTGTTGTGGATATCTAGTGCATCCCTCGGTGCATCCTGTTCCCTTAACTTGTTTTCGGAAGATTACCCATCAGTTATATTCGTGTACGAAAGATAGGGCGGATGACTGTTCCCTGGATGAAGGACTGATCCCTGCTTACGGATGTGATTGCATCCGAATCATGTGATGGTGATAATACAAATAAAAGCGCACGATTAGTAATTTAACCTAATCGTGTGCTTTTATTTGTTTTACCGCGCATTCGAAAATAATGTATGATAATAAATAGAAAAACATGCTAAACATAAAATACGTTTAAAATAAACTTGAAAATCATACTTTGACTATATGTTTTTAGTATTACTTCTACGTGAAGTCAACGATTTACATAGTTGAAGATGCTAATTTCAAATAACAGACTGTAGTGGCCAGTTGGCCACAGCTGAAAATCCAAGAAAATCCTGCTCCTTAATGTGATGTTGCGTCTCATCGGAAGTTGCATAAGTTGTTCTGGGAACGTTTACCTGTTAAGGCAAATTATGCGTTATTTGAATTTTGATCAAATACATACACATTATACTAACTCGGAATATTTTTTATAGTTCATTGACAATTAAAAAAATATTAAAATCACGATACGAGACTGTGCAATCCTCACAAATGAAAATTTACTTCAATCTATTTTTTAGTGACAAATGGGACTGTTCTGCGGGTACTTTCAATATGGGACTATTTAGCAAGGGTATGCTGCCACCAATTAATACCAGTAGAATTATTATTCATCATTTGTTATAATGTACAAGTTGATAGAAAATATATAAAAATAATTATGCAGCGACTATGTGAGCGGTATATGGCGGCCTTACGGTATTTGCACAATCTTGATTTTATGTACTTTGACTATATGTTTAGTATTACTTCTGCGTGAAGTCAACGATTTACATAGTTGAAGATGCTAATTTCAAATAACAGACTAAAGCGGTAATTTTTATACGATAGATGGAGGAGATGAAAGTCTAGAGTTGATAGTTCCGTTAGAGTATGGCAGTGTGAAAATTGCATATAGAAAGTAGATAGCGAGCTAGGACAACTTTTAAGGAAGATACAAATCGGCTTTTTCATCTCTCTTTACCAAACTCCCCCTTTGGAGAGGGATGGTGAGGGGTGTCCCCCGACCAACTGGATGGAGAGATGAAAAAACCGATTTGTACCTTCCTTAAGGCGATCGTGCTAATCTCGGTGAAATCGTACGATGATTCCGTTTGATTGCGGGTTATATAGTTGTGTGGATATGGTGTACGCCAAGCAAACACATGAGTTCCTTGAAAACATCCGGCTCAAACTGCTGCCCTTGGTAGGATGTGATTGTCTTTGGAGTCACAAAACTAGCTATCCAACCCGCATATTACCGACGCTAAGTTAAATCGCTTCAGCCCACCGTGAAAAACAATCAATGCTCGTTACGAGGGGAGCGACTCTATCTACGATGCAGGAAAAATTGTATTTTGCTGTGGTTAGCTGCGCGCACGCTGAGTAGATAGAAAGAAGATTGATGACGATTCTAAAGATTTCCTACGAAAAGATGATGCGCAATGCAAGTAGATGCGAGAAATGAAAGAAGATTTTACGAAGATTGATTCGCTATTTGTTGAGCATCTAAAATTGAGATTTAGATGTGTCGCCCCCCTCGGCTCGTTAGCAAGTACCGATTTCCACGAGAAGGTTTAAGTGGTCCAACGAGGTATATGTGGATTTTCCGAAAGTGTGCCTTAGATATTTCGTTGCTTGATAATGGTAATACCACATGCCTTGTTATCTTTGAACGTTGACACTGCTGACATGTCTTTGACCGTTAATCTTGGGAACACGTCGGGAAGGATAAATGCCCATTTCGCTCATCGTTTGGAACTCGTCTCTTGCTGCTTGAAGTGTCTCCGGATGTATACGACGTAGCTTCGAAGCCACCAATGGTCCTCGTGTAACGATATGTTGTGTAACGTCATGCTTTACTTCCTGTTGAAAAGATGAATGAGTGTACAACGAAAGGCCGGAATCACAAAAGGCTGAATTGGCAAAAAGCTTAGAAGCACCAAAAGGCTGAAAAGTATAAAAAACTGGAATGTATTAAAAGGGTGCAATTCTGTTTTCAAACAGCAGCAATTTGGTTCAAGAGTATAACATTATTAACATTCAACAATACGTATATTAGATGCAGAGCAAATAAAATGGCTGCATGGAGATATCACTTCTTCAATTCATACCAAAAATTTCGAGGTCAGTAATTCAAACAAGGAGAAAAAAATATGAGCGTAGCGACGGGCAAGCTTCTAATAGAAAAAAGGCCTTTGCTACGTTCCTATAAAAACACGGAGAGGGCAGTCATTCTGAGTTATATGCGCAATAAATGAGCATTTTCAGAAGCTTCTTTAAAAGCTTGCCCGTCACTACGCTCCGCTAACTAAAAAAAAGGCCAGGAC